GTCCACTCTCTCACTCTCTCTTTTTCACTTTCTCTTAGCTCTCAAGATGACTTGGTTTGGTCTTGTTTGGCTTGTACTTTCTTTAAACCAAAAGAAACTATTTATAGAAACCATGAGAGCGGTAGGTGAGAGGTAGGTGAGAGGTAGGTGGGATGTGGTAGGTGAGCGGTGGTAAATTCGGTGGACCGGGTCTCTACATTACCCAACAATTCTCCCACTTGGAGATTGGACAGTGAATGCATCACCTATTGGCTGCATCATCTAATGGATGTACCGACCTTTTCCTTAAACACGATATCCTCCACCTCTACAACTCAAAGCCCCTGTCTTCATCTCAGAAAACCAACTGAAGTTGAGCACAACTTCAACTTCTCACGAGTAACACCGTCAGTTGACATATCACCGTCAACGTAGCCTTGTACTGACAAGCTTTTTCCTGGGTTACTCATCTATCTGCTTACAACTCTCACTGCACGAATAATGTCCTGTCAACAAGTCCAGTTTTGTACCTCTTACTGCCATTTTATACAGTCTTTACCTGGTACACCCACTTATTGTGGAATGTTTTCTTCCTTGGTAGAAGTTCTTTCAGCTCTCAAGTATGATTCTCTGGCAGAGAATACGTTTCCTCCTCCTTGGTCAGCTCCCACTTGCTGAAATTCTCATCATGCAAGATTTTTTTATATTTCTGTGGTTCTCCATCATTTGTCTGTACAAGGTCCAGTTTTCCTGCCTTTGACGCTTAGCCACTTTTCAGGAAACTAACACTCTTTTGCTTCCCCATAATGCACCTCTGACTCATGTGACATCGCCTGAGTAAACTTATAGTCATATATAGTGTGTCAGTTTTCTTATCCCGAGCCAGTACTAATGCTCCTTTGGTAACCTTCCAGATGTTATCTGAGAACACTACCGAATGACCACCCTCATTGAGCTGCTTAACAGAGATGAGATTTTTCTTCAACTCAGGAACGTGACTGACCTTTTGAAAAATCCATTTACTCTTGTTGGGGAGTGCAATATCAACGTCTCTCATTCTCATCATGTTCAGAACTTTTCTATCAGCCAGATATACCTTTCCAAAGTTACCTGCAATATAATTTCGCATTAACTCCCGACGGGAAGATGTATGGAAGGAAGCTCCTGAATCCAGTATCCAGTCATCAATAGAACTGTAAACTGCCAGAAATAGTGCATCATGTATTTCTTCAGTTACAACATTAGCGTCATCATTCTCCTTCTTCTTAGGATTCCTGAAGTTCCTTTTTATGTGGCTAGTCATTCCACAATTCCAGCAGGTTGCCTGCTGACCTGACTTTAATTTTGATCTTCTACGGTTTGAGTTTGTCTTCTAGAATCAACAATCAGTGTCGAACTCGAACACGAGGTCTCGCCAGAATCTTTCCTGCGCACCTCCTCAGCCAAAATCAAATCACAAATATCATCATATTTCAGCTTAAATTTACCTGCAGAACTGTTAACTGTCATATGCATGGCTTCCCAGCTATTTGACAATGATGCCAACAATATCATCACACGTATCTCATCATCAAAATCAATTTCAACAGACGACAAATGATTTATGATAATGTTGAAATCATTCAGGTGTTGTGCAACAGACACATTCCACCATCTTCATGTTGAATAACTTTTTCATCGGATGCACCTTGTTATTCACCGATGACTTTTCATACATACATGATAAAGCAGCCATGAGATCTGCAGTAGTCCTCTCCTTGATGATGTTGTGGGCAATTGATCTTGATAGAGTCAATCATATTACCCCAATAACCTGTCGATCCAACAGATTTCATTCCGCCTTGTTCATCTTTTCTGGTTGTTTTCCCAGTAACGGAAGATGAAGTTTCTTCTCATAAAGGTAGTCTTCTATCTGCATCATCTAATAAGCAAAATTTGTGTCATTGAACTTCTCGATCCCCGATGTCATCACTTCGTCTTCGTCAATCGTTCTTCCTTAGATTCGAACCAAAGCTCAGATACCGGTTGTTGTGAAAAACGACGATAATAAAACGAAGAATGGAATGAGAAAAAATTACACACAGAAAAAACACCAGAGCGACACACTGATTTACGTGATTCGACAAATTTGTCTACGTCCACAAAGCTGCAGAGGATTTATTTCTTTGAGAAATTAACCGTCGAGCGTCTCGACATTTACAAGGAAATCTCTATTTTCTTCTCTCTCTTCCTCTCTCTCTTCCTTTCTTTCTCTTAGCTCTCAAGATGACTTGGCTTAGCCTTGCTTAGTTTGCATTTTCTTTAAACCAAAAGAAACTATTTATAGAAACCATGAGAGCGGCAGGTAATAGGTAAGTGAGAGGTAAGCTGCAAGTGATAGGTAAGTGAGAGGCAGGTGGGATTTGGTAGGTGAGCGATAGGTGGGATGTGGTAGGTGAGTGGTAGGTGAGATAGTTAATTAAGAAGTTAATTAAATTCGGTGGACCGGGTCTCCATATTACCCAACATAAACAAATTATTTTGATCAACATATCCCTCAAAATGATACTACAATATATGCACTAAAACCATTGCTTTTCTCTCTTTTTACATCTCATCATATATCCTATATAAATCTACAAGAATTACAGAAAAAAAAGGAAGAAAGCATTATAAAATACTCCAAACTTGAAGTCAAAAGGGGGTGCTTCAAAAAAAAGCCAAAATAGAGTTTGAGCAATAAAATGAAATTCTCAAGCCAATAATATGAAAAAATATTGTGTCCGGACAACGAATGCGATACCCCGGGCACAACAGAGAAAATAAAAACACCGCCCAGTGTATCGTGACCGTTGTATGGACGCAGCTCGCATCCGGACTACAATCCAGACGCAATATTTTCTCCATAAATACAGGATAAGTACACCAGAAACACCCCACATTTTATTAATAT